AAACAAAACTCAACAGAAGGTAAAAATAAGTGATAGCAATTCGACTTCCATAGTTCTTTCTTTGGATGTGGACAGCATTTTCCATCCCGAGGCATCTGGAGATGTCTTAGATCCTCGTAATACTGAGAAGGGTTCAGTTTAACAATCTTAGTCATTGCATAATGTGGCTGTTATTGTGTACAAAGTCCTCTTGGTTCTGCTCACTTCACTCAGCATCAGACCATATAAGTCTTTCCAGGTTTTTAACTCAGATGCTATCTTAAGAAGCCTTTTCTGATCCCCTCAATTGCCTCTCCCTTCTCATATCTTTCATTTAGTTTTCTGGATACGTGTTTTATTCCCCTGTAGAATATAGCTTCTAGAAGGTAGGGACTAGTTTTCATTTTCATCTTTGCATCCCCCAGCACCTTGCACATTATAAGCACTAAATAAATTTTTATGGAATTGTTTAATTGAATTTGATTCAATGGAACAAAATGTAGCCTTAAGACTATGTTTGGAATTAAAGACAGTGTCTTATCTAAACTTCAGCTCTTCTCATCCTACTACCAGTACCAGACAACAGTGTTATTGCACATTAGGTGAATATAATTGATTTAGTTAGGTTTCCTGCCCTCAAGGAGCTTGTAATAGTGTTTGAAAGAAAAGTCATAACATTCAGTGAATCAGATGTCAGTGTTGATTGAATCTCAAAGTGAGTGTTAAGAGACAGTAAATGAAACAGGAGTTGATGAACCTGTTAAGTAATAATGTCAAAGAAATCAAGGGAAATTTGCATTTGAGGTGAAACTTGAAAAAAATTGCATCCATTTAGGTGAACAAATTCTGAAAACATAATCTGCAAAACATTCTGCAAAACACAGTAAGAGAATAAACATTAACTCAGAGAGAAGCTGTGACAAATCATGTGGCCAAATGAAATGCCCCTGCAACATCTTCATTAGCTAACACTTAAACAGCCTGTCTCTGCTTTATTGTTTAGTCATTTTTCAGTCATGTCCAACTCTTTGTGACCCCATTTGGGATTTCCTTGGCAAAGATACTGGAGTGGTTTGCGATTTCCTTCTCCAGCTCATTTTACAAATGAGGAAACTGAGGCAAACAGGATTTAAGTGACTCAGGGTCACACAGCTAGTATCTTCCTGACTCTAGGCCCAGTGCTCTATCCACCTGGCCACCTACCTGTCTGCTTTCTGCTTTATAAGCACTTCATTTATCCTTTGCAGTGCTGGAGGCACCACACATCACTGTTCTTCCCCATAAAGTTCGATGAAGATTCTGCCTTATTGCAGGGTTAGAAATAGTTGTCGATGTATATCTGGGAATGGTTCAGACAGTGGAAACAATTAAAAATGTCAGAGAAGAAATGAACTGTTGATAGGGCCTAATGTTTTTTTTGTTTGCTTTTTTGTTTGTTTTTTACTTTTGTTTTGGTGAGGCAGTTGGGGTTAAGTGACTTGCCCAGGGTCACACAGCTAGTAAGTGTCACGTGTCTGAAGCTGGATTTGAACTCAGGTCCTCCTGACTCCAAGGCCAGGGCTCTAGCCACTGTGCCACCTACCTACCCCAATAATTTTTAAGAGAGAAAAAAAATCCAAGGTTTTATGTAACTTTGGGAATCACCTCTTTTACCAGGACTCTTGTTTTCAAATCATCCGTGTATCCCATAGCAACTGAGAGGGTCACACCTGTCCTCTGTGTAGCATGTAGTAATGAGGCTTGGCAATTGAAGGAAGTTGAGGAGTGGTGCACCGTCTTAGCGTTGTTCCCAAGGGCAGTAAGCACAGCTGTTTTCCTGGCTCTAACTGCCGTATGTATCCTAACACAGGTGCTGTTAGGGCACAAAGTGAGGGAAAGAACTGTCCAGGGAGCTACAGCAGGGGCGAAATTTTAAAAATAAACAGAAGGGAAAGAGGGGAGGACATTAGGGCAAAATAAAGTGCCAAAGGAATAAATGAGAGACAAGCAGGTGAAAGTGTTTTAAATAGAAGCTTCACTGGACTCCTTTTTTCCGTCCAGCTCATTTTGTAAGTGGAAGGATAAGCCCTTAAGGGGATAAGTTCAGGCTTTCACCACAAAAAAAATGAGAAAAGAAGGGATCACGGGGAAAAACAAAACCCAGAGAAAGGAAAGAAAAGTTTTCTGTGAAGGGGTACAAGGATTTCTTTCTCTTTTGGAGTTTTGTTTTGTTTTTTAAAACTAGTAACTCAGGTGAAAAGTGGTTTCTAACTTGTTCCTTTCCCCCTGTATTGACCCTTATAAAATTCATTGTGGTTTGTCCTTCATTCTCGAAGAGGACCATGACATCAGGGAGATGATGACATGACTTGCAATTGACTTTGACTTGAGTGAGGGAGGGCTGTGTAAAGTCACCAGCCTCGCTTTCTCCTCCAGAGCCATCTGGGTCCGGTGGCCAGATATCCATCAGGACGACTGGAGATGGCCCAGTATAATACTCATTAATGAATTCAGAAAGGCACTGCTTTTTGTATATCAAGGTAAGAAATTCAGGAATAGGGCAGTGATTTGTCTATCTGTGTAGTCAAGGTGGAAGTAATCATTCCTTCATCAGGATATCTCAATAAAAATCAGATGTGTGTATCATAATCAGAATGACATACATGAGAGGAGTGAAATTACCACAGATGGAGGCTGTCCTGGGAAAAGTAAGCCTAGGCAGTAAAACTTGTACTCCTGGTGTGAAATGTTGCCTGAGTAAGGCCAAACTTCAATCAGAATTACAAATCATCTGTTTAAATTTACATTTCTAATTTACTTTTCCCTTTTGCTGTCCCTATTTGTCAAATAACTACTAATGATAACTTCGGCTGTCAGTTTATTTTCCTTGCCTTAAAATGTAAAGTGCCTATTGCTGGTTTCCATAGCATTCTGGTAATTGGTAGTTGTGTTGAATAGCTGCTCAATTGGAAAAGAAAACCTTTGTCTGTTTAATTAAAACAAAATTTTATATTAGAATTCACATATGTACATGCAGCAAGGCTCTGGACTTACCCTGTAAGCACTTAGCACTGTGCCTAGAATGTAATTGGTGCTTTCTAGATGATTGTTCTCTTTCTTCACCTTTCCTTTTCCCCATGAGGAGGTCAGTTTCCCAGAGGAAGGGAAGATAAATCTTCCCTTAGGGTTCTAGGAGTACCAGTGAAGAATGGTGGTGGTGGTGGTGATGGTGGGGTTCTTCTAATGCTATAGGCTTAAGCACCCATTTTGTGTGTTGTTCCTTAATATCAATCACCAGTCATATTTAGTATCTCCCTTTATATCAGTGATTGACCTAGTGACCCACTACCATTTAACCAATTAACATCAATTAGCTTTTACAAAGACTGAGAAGATAAAGCAAGAACTAAAGTATAAGCACATCCCACCCAGATTTTGCACACTCTAAAGCACTTCATTCCCTGGGGAAGTGGGTTCAAACTTAAAGCAATTGCTTTAAGCAATTGACTTGCGAAATTCGTCCCCAAACATGGCATAGCCAGTGGATCAACTCATCCATAAGAGCTTACTCTTAGCTGTCATTAATCTTACTTTGCTGAGTCAAGCAGCTCCCTCCTCAATGGGCTTGACTGCCAATAAACCCTGGCACAGAATCTGGCTCAAAGAGGTAAACTAGCCCTTCCTGTTTCTAATACTCCTTCACCCAAAGCAGGGAGGAATAGAACTGGGACAGAAGCAGGGCCATTTGAACATAGTGCTATGTTGATCCAAATGGGAGAGTAGGCTCCTAGAGCTTTCTCCATCCAGTAGTTTGCAAGTTATTTCATCCTCACTCAAACCCAGGGAAGGAGGAAAAAGAGAGAACAGTTTGCCCCCATGGGAATTTTTTGATTGCATGCCTAGTTCCAGCTCAGAAACCAGTTGAAAAAGTCTTTTTTTCACCACTTGGTAAGCAGACAGGAAACGGCCGTCAGCAGGAATATCTGTGTATGCTCCAAAGCCCATGTGAATGGACTATATCCGCCATAGCACATTGTATAAGCTATACAACAATGTCTGGGCTCTAACTGGTTCAGTTACCCAAACATACATATTAGATTAGCACTTAATTGCATTAGTAGAAGAGAAACTTAGCCTTTAAAATTCCAGGATATCTGGGGTCTCAGCAATGTGAGCGTCACATCCCATTCCCCCCCTGCAGTGTTACATGCATTACTGAACTTTACCTTTTTGATCCTGTTCTTGCCTATTCATGGCTTCCCATAAATTATCCTTTGAAGATCCACCCATTGTGCTGGAGGGCTTCCTCTAGATCTCTTGACATTACAAGGGCACCAGTGAAGCACAAAAATGATCCGTTAGCCTTCACCATTACTCTGTAAACCATGCCCCTCCTTTTCCTGTCATCCATTTCTTTGATGTTATCTTTTACGTTACTTTTCACGTGCATGTCCTTATTGGTCATTGGTATTTTTACCCACCATGCATTTCTCCATCACCCTTTGGGTGAACTGCAATTTTGATTCTTCAGTGATCGTGGCATTCTGTGTTTCAAAGAGCATAGAGCATCATTGGAAGGGTATTGATGCTTAAAAAAACAAACTTTAATAAAAGACAACTAAGAAAGACTTGAGAACTCTGATCATTGCAGTGACCAGAGGACCTATGAATGAAACAAGCTACTCCCCTTCTGACAAAGAGGTGATAAACTCTTTGTATGTGGCCAGACAAAATAATGACAATGACTCTGGTACCTTCGTATTGCAGTATCACAAGTACATGGCCCTATCTCAGCCCTTCAGCTTCACATAGCAGGTATAGAAGGACACATATTTTTAGACATGGCAATAGAGGTGGCACTACAGACATGGTATGGGAAAAGGATGGAATCAGAGGTCCTAGATTCAAATACCAACTCCACCCTCTTTTGTTTGTTTGAGCTTGAAGAAATTATTTAGCCACTCTTGGACTCAGTTTCCTCATCTGTGCCAGCTCTTATGATCCTGTGACCTAATTAAAAATTTTTCCTCAATTTTTTTCAGAGCTGGTGGTTCCAGGATTTTCTTAAGAATGACTTTAGGAAGAGAAATTATGTCCCCTCTTCGATTGAGGTCTTCATCTTCAGCAACCAAAAAAAACTTTTTGAAGTGGGATCTATCACCAGAACAAATTAAAGCAAGAACTGAGGAGCTCATACAACAAACCAAGCAGGTGTATGATGCTGTTGGAATGCTTGATATTGAGAAAGTAACATATGAGAATAGTTTGCAGGCGCTTGCAGATTTAGAAGTGAAATATGCAGGTGAGTATCAGTGTGTTAGGGCATGTTGCCTTATCTTTATGTAACCCATTACGTTATTCACGAAACAGAAGTAACAAAGCATTTTAAATTAAACTCAGAGATTTGGTCAGCATCTACGTTGTACAAGCCCATTGGGCTTGCACTGGGGATCGGTAGGCAAAATGGGAAATAGCCCCTACCCTCAAAGGGCATGCCTTCCGTGAGATCAGAGGTTCTTAATCTGTGGTCTATAAGTTTGTTTTTTAAATATCTTGATAACCATATTTCAACATAATTGGTTTTCCTTATAATCCTATGTATGTTATTATAAGCATTTCATAACATCATTCTTGAGAGGAGTCCATTTTGGCTTCACCAGACTGCCAAAGGGGACCATGACGCAAAGAGGTCCCTAGCCTAGGTGGATACTGTGTTTACACCAATGAGTAAATATTATTTGGGACTTTACAGATTTTTTTAAAATTTTGTACAATAGTTAACCAATCACTTTGTGTTAAATTGTCTTGTGTTCTGTTTTACCTGCTTATTCATTTTTTAGACTTTTTAGTTTGGTGGTATTCTTTCTAGTTTCTCTCTAGATTTGAAGCTGCTAGCAATATGTCTATAGTTGGTAAGTTTGAACCGAGCATAATTTCTTATGCAATTAAAAAAACAAGAACTAACTTTCACCTCTAGGACCCAAGTTCAAAATTCAATCACGACAACTCTTAGCCATCTCCTACAGTGTCTTTCACCACAAATACCAGTGGAGGGTATTGGGTGTCCATGTTGTTGACTGCCCATTTCAGCAGTGAAAGGAAATTCTAGTTCCATCTAGTTCTTTGTGAATCAGTAAGAGAGGAATACCTTTTCAGCATTATTGTTTATTTAAAATCATGTTTCTAAATTTAAGTCCATGCCTCTTATGTTGCTGATTTGAGATCATAAGCCATTTAACTTCCCTTTTAATTTTTTTAAGTTAATGTCAAAAAATCCAATCAAAGTCTTAATTGTATTATTAACCACATGCTTTTAAATGAATATTATGCATATTGAGCTTGATAATCTGTATTTTATTCTTTCTTTGGAAGACAGAATGAATTTATATTTAATCAGATCTTAATATCCTAATAATCACAATGTGGTGATGCATAGAGATGGTTCATATACTTGGTTATTTACAATGATGTTATAAAGGCATTAATAAGGATTATATTTGCTATGTATCTAGGCAAAGTTGTGGTTCTTCAGAGGCAGCTAGAGGGTACAATGGATAGAGCACTGTGCTTGAGTCAGGAAGACAGTTCAAACCTAGACTGTGTCTGCCTCAGTTTCTTCAACTGTAAAACGGGGATTATAATAGCATCTACCTTCCAGGGTTGTTGTGAGGGTTAAATGAGAAGATATTTGTAAAGCGTTTGGCACAGTGCCTGCTTAGCAAATGTTTGTTTCATTCTTTCCCTTTCTGAGAGGTCTCTACTTCTTTGAAATTTCTCCATATTTTGGATGTGTGAGTTTTATTTATTTCACCATTTTAGAGAGAGTGAAAGGAAGGAAAGAAAGAAAGAAGAAAATAAGCATTTATTAAGTACCTACTATACGCCAGAAACTGTTGAAAGCACTTCACAGATTTCACCTCATTTGATCCTCACAACCCTCTGGACTCTGCCCTTGAGATGAGTTTGTCTTCTCTTGTCTTCCTTGAGGACACAGACTGTCTTGTTTGCTTACACCTGGCAGCTGCCCGTCACATAATTACTACTTAATAAATGCTTCTTCTCTTTTTATCTGCCATCAGAGTGACTTTGCCACAGCATTTACTCAGGATTACTTCATGAATGTGTCTTATGTGGGTGGAATGGAGGATCATTGCTTTAGAACCCACTAGAAAAAGGTCCTTTGAGTCAAGTGCAAGAATTTATGGCACAACATTCTATGCAGGTCATTCACATAAGAAGCAGGAGCCAAGCTCATGATAAATAACTCATCCAAAAATCAGACTCAATGAAGACTTTTGTCTGCATATCACCATGTGGGGTCCATAATAATTTTATTTACTTCTGCAATTGTGACTTTGTATAGCTGGCCAGTTTGAGAATGATACCATTAGAAGACACAAGAAAATTCAGAGTCTTTAATATTAGGTGCATGGATGCAGACATTACAAGATTTTTACCAAGATTGCATTGGCAATCATTATACAGTTAATTATAGTTGAGAAAAGTAGGTGAGAAAACACATTAATGTCTAAGATTTTCTAGCAGGCTATATTGTAATAATGAAGTATGTTATTACTATTCCCATTAACAAGATACAGCATGTATAGTTCAATTTACACCCTGATATGGGAATATAGGATGAGGCTGGTGATATCACAAATGAAAGGTTGCATTACACTTTACAAAAAGCAAAAAATAAATTAAAAACTGAAAAATAAATTCTACTATAAAACTCCACTAAAAGGGTACCTAGGACATTTTCCTGGATATATTTTTGTTAGATGATGTGAACCCTCATTCTATTCCAAAGATTACATCACACATACAGAAGTCATTAGTAACAAATACTTCAAGATCATGGTGAAATTTCATGGCATATAGTGTAATCCGTTGGTTCTAGGACATTGCTCCACAAATGAAACACCTATCTCTCTTTTGTATTCAGTTTATCCCTCTCTAACAATTCCATTCTATGCTCACATCTCCCCTCACTGTCTCTTGAACCTGTTTCTTCAAACGATTCTAATTTTTCTTCTCCACCCCAAGTTTGTAGAATAATTAATCTACATTCTCTGCCTTCACTGCCTCACCACCCACTCATTTCTTAACAGTTTCCACTTAAACTTTCATTACCATCACTCTACTGAAACATCTTTCTCCATAGTCACTGATTTTATCACCAAATTCATTGTTACTCAGTGATTGTTTTGTGTGTTTTTTCCCCATTCTAATCCACCGTGATTTTTTTTTCCTTTGGCTTCCATGACATTATTCTCTCCTGGTTCTCTTGTGTAAGTGACATGTCCCTTTCAGTCTTCCACTAAATCTTCATCTTCTGCTTCTCTAAACATGAACCAACAAAATGCTTTTCTTGGATCTTTCCAAAGGCCAAGAGTCAAAATTATGTTGGAAGTCATGGTTGAAGATTAAAAAACGAGAGACCAAAGCCTACTAGGGAACTCGGAAATCTCACGTGTATATTTCATGGATACCTTTTTTTCAGAAGTGAATCAGGAGACACCAGGGAGCTTGAGCAACCAACAGTATCACACACACAAAAAAATATGAAACCTTATCTGAACAGACAGGAAACCACTGGTTACTAACATGGAAGTCATTTCTGAATCAGTTGTCTATGTGGAGTCATATCATCACCAATTATAATAGAGGTGAAAAAATAAAGAAGAGATAACATCCCCAGGAATCACAGCAGATGTGGCATAATCCTTACACAAGCAAGAGAAAGAGCCCAGAACTACCTCAGCCTGCCACCCCCAAAATCTGTCTCCTTGTAAGGGGGGAGACGTGGAAACCAAAGTCAATGCTAGTTTAGAAGACAAGCTTAATTATAAACATTACAGAGGAAGATGCCAGAAGATTCCAAGCAGAAAAAGAAAAAAAAACAGTGAAGAGGACAATGGGCCTGCATGAAGCTAGCCAGGGGACTAACCAGTCAAATCAGCCCAAGATCATTCATAAGTTTACTTAGCCAAACTCCTTGGGAAAAGTTGTCGACGCTTACTGACTCCATTTCCTCCTCTCCATTCACTTCTCAACTCCACAATCAGGCTTTTGACCTCATCACTCAATTGAAACTGCTCTTTCCAAGGTTAGTGATCCCTTAATTGCCAAATATAATTGTCTTTTTGAAGTCCACATCCTTCTTAACCTGCCTGCTGCATTTGACACTGGTGACCACTGTTTCCTCCTCAGTACTCTTCTCTGGGTTTTCATGACACTCCTCTCTCCAGGCTCTCCTTCTAACTGTCTGTCTGCTCCCCAGGATCCTTTGCTGGCTTATCATTCACAGAATGGCCCCTAATTGGATTTTCCCCAATGTTCCAGTCCCAGACCTTCTTCTCTGGTCCCTCTATACTTTCTTTTTTGGTAACCTCATCAGATCTCATCCCTTTGCAGATGACTATATCCAGATTGTTATATCCAGCTCCATTCTCTATTTCAGTTTCATATCACTGTTGGTCTGTTGGACATTTCAAACTGGATGTCCCACAAACACATCTTGTACTCAGTATATTTAAAACAAAACTCATTATCTTTCCTCTATAAACACTCCTGTCTTCCAAACTTCCCTATTTCCATCAATAACATCACCGTCCTCCAGTCTTCCATGTTTGAAATGTCTGCATTATCCTGTGCTCCTCACTCCCTCACTCTACATCTCCAATCAGCTGACAAATCTTACTATATCTACCTTGATATCACTCACATCTGGCCCCTTCTTTCCACTCACACTGTTGCCACTTTAATTTAGACCTTCATCACCTCTTGCATAGATTATTGTAACAACTTTCTAATTGGTCTCCTTGCCTTGCCTGACATCCTTCCAGTCTGTCCCACACATGGCTGCCAAAGTAATTTTCACTTCATGTGGATCCAACCACATAACTCCCCTACTCAAACAACTCCAGTGGCTTCCTGTTGCCTCTAGGACAAAATATGAACTCTGTTTACATACACCTTGGCCCCCAACTCATCTTCCTAGGCTTCCTAGGCTTGTTGGACATTGCTCCCCATCCTACACTCTAGTCAAATCTAGTCAGATTAGCCATTTCTACTTTCCTCACAGAAGACACTCTGGCTTTCACCTCTGTGCCTTTGCCCCCATCCATCTCGTATGCCTGGAACACCCTTCTTCTTTACCTCCACCTCACAGAGGCCTTCTCTTCCTTTGATATGAGCTTAAACACCATTTTATACATGAATCCTTTCCTGATTCCTCCCTACAACTAGTGCTCCACCTCCCAAACTACCTTAAAGATTATTCTCCAACATTGTACCTCCCATGCTTACGTCAAGATCATACAGAGGTACTAATAAACACCACATATGTTTGATAAACAAACATGTTTGTTGTTGAGATATTTGCTGAGATCACTGAGGTTGTCCTATGTAGTCAGAATGGAAGAAAGACTCTTTATAAATGGTAGGAACCTATCGATGGCTCCTTTTTGTAAATGATATATTACAGGGCCTCCTTAATAAGACATAAATCACCCCAAAGAGAGTTGCCTAATAACTTAAGCAGTAAAAAAAAAATCACATAAATGACAGATACATAGTGTACAAATTCTGACAGGCAACTGAATAGGAAGCCCATTTATATATGTGTGTGTATATATGTACGTATATTTATATATACACATATGTGTAATATGCATACATATTTATATAGATTTATATGTGTGTGTATTTCTCTAGGATACATGCTGCAGATGGATATAGAGCTTGCCCTAGAACTAAAAAAGAGGAAAAGTGTGGGCTAGATTGCATTTGTGAAATTACTCAGGGCTTCCTGTGATCCTAGACAGCAACTTGACATAAAAACTCATCTTTTCTTTTTCTTTTTTTTGCTTTTTGGTGAGGCAGTCGAGGTTAAGTGACTTGCCTAAGGTCACACAGCCAGTAAGTGTCAAATGTCTGAGGTTGGATTTGAACTCAGGTCTTCCTGACTCCAAGGCCTGAACTCTAACCACTGCACCACCTAGCTGTCCCCTAAAAATTCATCTTTTAATGTCAGTATTCTCCTGATGATAACATTAATAGCAATGACCATCATTAAATAGATAATGCTTTAATGTTTGCAAAGTGCTTTACAAATATTTTCTATTTGATTCTCACAATAACCTTGAGAGATAGGTGTTATTTTTAGCCCCATTTTACAAATGAGTAAACTGAGGTAGATAGAGGTTAAGTGACCCTTAATCAGGGTCACTCAGCTGGTAAATGTGTGAGGCAGGATTTGAACTCAGGTCTACCTTACTGCAGTTCCAGTGCTCCATCCACTGTGCCATCTAGCTATCTCTAGGATTTTGTCCTGAGTTCAAGTTTCAGCCTTAATTACAAAGAATGGGGTAACTAGTGATTAACATTATCACTTAATAAGCTGCTTAATTCTCATCTAGATGTTACCTTCCCTTCTAAATTTCATTCCTATGTCTTAAGATGCCCGCTGAACATCTTTATTTGGCTATTCTTCTGTCACCTCAAATGCCAAATGTATAAACTAAACTGATCTTTCCCTTCGTTCCAGGTTCCCCTATGGTCTACGGTCATTATCCCAGTCATTCATGAGGAGTAAAATAAAAATTTGTGAACCAGATACCTAGATCATTTAACCATGGGATTTGATGAGACTGACCAGAGAGAGAGAGAGTAAGAGTGTGTGTGTAGAGAAGGAAGAGAAGAAATCCCAGGGGAGAACTTTGGGGAGCATCAATATTTAGAAAGCCAAATGGGCCCCGCAATGATTGATTACATCTAGGAAGTATTATAGTAATCATATCTGTGACATCTCATGCTAGACCCTGAACTTCCTGGTGCCTTTAATGTAACTGTTCCAAGATGGGCCTGGCAGTGATCTGCCATTTGCAATTAAGTCAGTACATTTGCTATTAAGCAGAATATTATTACCGGCCCCTTGGAGTGGTGTGCAAGCAAAGTTTTCCCCTGGTCTCCCAAATTTAGCTCTTCAGAGCTAGATACCAGCTGAAATTCCTTTTTATCGTTCCCAGGGCTTTGCATAGTGCCTTCCCCTTGGTAAGCACTAAATGAATGTTCGTTGATGATATTTCAGTACATGGACCTTATGTTATATATGTGGTTTCCTTATCATTTTGAGAGCCTTCCCAAGTATATAACATGGGATACAAACATTAAAATAATCATTTGCTCTTGTAGAAAACACTTCAGCATAACACTGATTGGAAGGGTGCGGCATCATTTAATATTTTTCTCTGCCAACAGTGGAAAGAAGCATGTTGGATTTTCCCCAGCATATCTCCCCTGACAAAGATGTGCGAGCAGCAAGCACAGATGCCGACAAAAGGCTTTCTCGTTTTGACATTGAGATGAGCATGAGAGAGGATGTGTTTCAGAGAATTGTTCATCTACAGGTAGATTTTTTTTTTAATGAAAAAACAAACAAAACATCCCACTCTTCATGCATCAATACAAGATATTTTAATCTGCCAAGAAATCTTATTTTCACATGCTTGTGATAACAGACATTATTAGCTATATTCATATTGTTAATTACATTCATTTCCAAGTGAGGACCATAATTAAAACTGTGTCCTGTGTGGGTATAACTATCAGTGTTGGATCTTGTGGAACAAGTTTGTTTTTTCTTTTAATTCCTGTCTTCTAAGTGTAACATATATTTGTTAGGTAGAACCCACTAAAACCTTGACAATGTCAGTCTCCTCTTAGTAAATACATTGTATTTATGACTTTATAATGATAACACAGTGTTGATGTTGAAAGCCAGAGTCATTCCTGTATGTTGTCCTTACATTTTGCAGGAATGGCGGGAGTTAAGGATAATGAATGTTCTAGGTGGGTCTGCCTTCAAAGATTTGTTGTTTTGTTTCCTGGCCTTTTTTTAAAATTTGTCTTTTCTTTTAATGTGTAATTCTGTAGTATTTCTATAGTCTGTCCAAGAAACAAAGGCTTTATAGCTCCAATTTTTTGTTCTTTTTGCATGTTTCTTTTGCAAGATCATTGGCATTATTTTGCTTCTTGTAACCATCTTGTGCTTAAAATTGATATAAAACATTTTGTATGAAAATGTTTTTCAAGATCATACTACTTAAATTACTGAAATATTTTAGATGTTGCTAAGACTCAAGTGGTATTCATTGTCCTGTGTCACCCAAGTATTTTTCATTCTTTTAAGTTCACTAACAACCATGGTTTATGGTAGGTTACCCTTAGAATGGTGAAAATTAAATAAATGAAAATCTCATCACCATTGCTATTCATTCTTTTTCTCCTCTTGAACGCTGCCCCCTGATCCCACCTCCTTCGAGATGAGTTCCTTCTGAATAGGACTGTAGTCTTTCCTAATTTTCACTTTCTATTTTATCCCATAATATTCTAAGTTCCTATTTGACTGTATTTAGAATACATACTGATGTATTTTAGAAGTGTTTTCCCTAGTGTTTTCTAATTTCCTGTGCTTAACCTGTTTTCATCCTTACTTCCAAGTTTTGTCTTTTCTATTTAAAGTATATAGTATTTCACAGGCTTCACATTTTATTTATTGCCCTTATGTTCCTTAGACTGAAATATTTGTTAATATTATCCATGTATTGATATTGGGGAAAACAGAGTTGTCACTTTAGGTAACCTTGTGATTTCCTTTTTTTTTTTTAAAATTTTAAACATTTAAGGCCTGAACTTGTTAGCAAGGAAGGCATGAACAGAGCCCTTTTTAGTAAATTATTCTTAAGAGTACACTGGTTGTGGGGTCATGGATTTGAAGTTATGATTAGTCCAACTCCCTCATTTTACATGAGGAAATAGACCAAGAAAGGCCAACTGACCTGCTCCAAGTCACATGGGTAGGGCCAGGAGTAATATTTGACCCTAGGTCCTTGGGCTCCAAATTCAGTGCTTGTTATACTACAATGGTCTGAAAAAAACTCATCCCACAAATTGTTTCTTTGATGGGCTGATTTATTTCTGGCTTCATAGGAACAGATGAATTTAAAGTTGAGTCCCTGACCTAAATATCCCACATTCATTTCATCATCTGGTATCTTGGTGTTCCTTTGTGCAAAGATCATTAAGTAAAAACATCCAAAGACATCTATGTTCTTTCTTACTGTCCTTCTAGACTGGTAACTGATAAGTAACCTCTGTTTACTCGATTACTTGTTTTGTTCATCAAATTCTCTCCATTTTAAAGGCTTTGTATAACACGCAGAAACTGCTTGAATTGTTTTAACTATAACAGTGTGAAATGATGAGCTCAGATTATCTAATAGATTTGAATATCCCTATATTTTCTACATTCAGTCAAATCCAATAAATATTTATTAAGTGCCTGCTGTGTGCCAAGCACTGTGCCAAATGCTGAGAATACAGTTAGTTAAAAGAAAGACAGTCACTGCCCTCAAGGAGCTTACAATTCTAAAGGGAGAGATAACATACAAAGTTGGCAGGAAAGAGGGGAATAGGGGATGCCAGGGATCATCTTGTTGCATGGAGTTGAAACCTGGCAGGGCAGCAGATACAAAATGGAGTGAGTAAGAGTCCAGTGTCTGCCTTCTATAAAGGAAGGCATTGGGAGGAGTTTGGTTCTCTACCCACCAGTCAGAGGAGAGAGGAGCCTGAGGGAGGTGGTATCAATCAAGGTTTGAGTTAGCAGCTTGGTGGTGAGTTTAAACACGCTGAGCTTGATCCTAGAGAATCAAGTAAAAAACTACTTGAAATAATAAACAACTTTAGCAAAGTTGCAGGCTATAAAATAAACCCACATAAATCATCAGCATTGCTATATATTACCAACAAAGCCCAACAGCAAGAGATAGAAAGAGAAATCCCATTTAAACTTACTGTAGACATTACAAAATATTTAGGAGTCTACCTCCCAAAACAAACCCAGGAACTCTATGAACACAATTACAAAACACTTTTCACACAAATAAAATCAGATCTAAATAATTGGAAAAACATCAGTTGCTCATGGGTAGGCCGAGCTAATATAATAAAAATTACAATCCTACCTAAGCTAATTTACTTATTCAGTGCCATACCAATCAAACTACCAAAAAATTATTTTATAGAGTTAGAAAAAATAATAAGATTCATTTGGAAAAACAAAAGGTCCAGAATATCAAAGGAACTAATGAAGAGAAATTCAGGGGAAGGTGGCTTAGCAATTCCAGATCTTAAATTGTTTTATAAAGCAGCAATTATCAAAACTGCTTGGTACTGGCTAAGAAATAGGGAGGTGGATCAGTGGAATAGGTTAAATATGCAAGACACAGTAGTCAATGACTATAGTAATCTATTATTTGATAAACCCAAAGACCTCAGCTTCTGGATAAGAACCACTCTTTGAAAAAAACTGCTGGGAAAACTGGAAAAGAGTATGGCAGAAACTAGGCATAGACCCAAATCTCACACCATATACCAAAATAAAGTCAAAATGGGTTCATGAGATATAAAGGCTGATACCATAAGTAAACTGGGAGAACAAGGAATAGTTTACCTATCAGATCTATGGAGAACAGAAGAATTCATGACCAAACAGGAGATAGAGAACATATTGAAAAGCAAAATGGATCATTTTGATTACATTAAATTGAAAAGTTTTTGCACAAACAAAGCCAATGCAACTAAGATTAGAAGGAAGGTAGAAAATTGGGAAAGAATTTTTATAACCAGTCTCTCTGATAAAGGCCTCATTTCTAAAATATATAGAGAATTAAGACAAATTTATAAGAACACAAGCCATTCCCCAATGATAAATGGTCAAAGGATATGAACAGACAGTTCTCAGATGAAGAAATTAAAGCCATCTATAGTCATATGAAAAAATGCTCTAAATCGTTATTGATTAGAGAAATGCAAATCAAAACAACTCTGAGGTACCACATCACACCTATCAGATTGGCCAACATGACAAAACAGGAAAATGATAAATGTTGGAGAAGATGTGGGAAAATTGGAACACTAATACATTGTTGGTGGAGTTGTGAAATGATCCAACCATTTTGGAGAACAATTTGGAACTATGCCCAAAGGGCTACAAAAATGTGCGTACCCTTTGATCCAGCAATAGCACTTCTAGGGCTATATCCCAAAGAGATCAAATAAATGGGAAAAGGACCCAGATGTACAAAAATATTCATAGCAGCTCTTTTTGTGGTGGCAAAGAATTGGAAATTGAGAGGATGCCCATCAATTGGGGAATGGCTGAGCAAGTTGTGGTATATGAATGTAATAGAATGCTATTGTGCTATAAGAAATGATGAACAGGCTGACTTCAGAAAAACCTGGAAAGACCTATATGGTCTGAGGCTGAGTGAAGTGAGCAGATCCAAGAGGACTTTGTACGCAATAACAGCCACGTTATGCAGTGACTAAGATTGTTAAACTGAACCCTTCTCGGCATTACGAGGATCTAAGACATCTCCAGACGCCTCGGGATGGAAAATGCTGTCCACATCCAAAGAAAGAACTATGGAAGTTGAATCGCTATCGCTTATTTTTTCCTTCTGTTGAGTTTTATTTCATCTTTCTGATGGTTCCTCCTATTGGTTTTAATTTGTACTTACAACTTCACTGATGTGAAAATATGTTTCATGGGTATGTAAATGTAAAGCCTATATCAGATTGTGCGCCATCTTGGGGAGGGTGGGGAGGAGGAAAAGGGAGAAAAATTTTCAACTCAAAAGCACATGGAAAAAATAACAAATTTTTAAAAAATTAAAAAACAAACAAACATGCTGAGCTTATCCTGGAAAGGTCATTTTCTTGGGTGGACTTGAAACCAGGCAAAGCAGCAGATGCAAGTAGAGTGCTATCTCACCATAGGAGTGGTTAAGCTGCAAATCAGGAGGAGTTTCTAAAAATAGACACTTAAAAATAGGATTATTCCTATTTTTCCTTGTAGTATTCTAAGTGAGAGTGGTAGTAAAAATGGTACAGTAAAGAGTAAAGTAAGTATGACTTAGAGTAATTTACCATTTTATGGCATTCTCTTTCATATTATGAGGTTATGATGAGGAGCTTGTGAATACTTTTGAAGTCTCAGAACATCACTAATGTCCATTGTAACCAAGTGTAATATTGGCCAAATTTGATGCAAAGCTGTTTTTGGGTGTAAGTAACAATTAGAAACGCAGTTAAGGATTAATAAAACAAACCTGGTTTTAGCTCCCTTTACCAGCACCTGACTCCTCTGCTCAATGGGGCAACTACCTTTGTTTATCTCACATTTATAGTACCTGTCCACTTACTTGTCCTGTTTTCTTTGCCAGCTTGTGAACTGCTTTAGAGCAGAAAGTAGGATTTACGCTTCTTTGGATAATCCACAGCATTTTGCATACAGAAGGCACTCAGTAAATAAGTCAGTAAATGAATATGTTGGATGACCATAGAG